AATCCGCCCACCTCGGCCTCCCAGAGTGCTAGGCTTACAGGTGTGAGCCACCGGGCCTGGCCCAGCTTGTGTGCTCTTAAATTAGCTTTATTCTAAGTAAACTGCAAAAGACTGGAAAATGGAAACGATAAATTTGTACCAAATCCTTCAAAATATAAAAAAAATAAAAGGTGGAAATATTTTAATTTACTCACACAGTACAATGAATTGATGTGGAGTCAAAATCCACAATTACACATTCATAAAAATTCCACCCATCCTCACAATCATCAGTGTCTGTAGGAAGATTTACAGATGTGTAAATGCGCTGCTCAGTGCGCTACAGAGTTGTGAGGTTCTGCTGGAATATTGTGCAAATCAAGCCCAGAATCATTGTCCTCATCGATTTCTTCAATGACTGAGACATTGTCACCTCTAATGATGTGTAACCCTAGTACCACTTGCTCTACTCCCCGTGGGGAGCTGAATACTCCTTCATGGCTAATATAACAGCTAGACAGGAAATCAGCAAGGATATAGAAGAACTCAAAACCACCATCAACTAACAGTGCAATGGCATTCACAGAACACTCTATCCAACAACAGAAGAATACACATTTTTTTTCCGAGCACCCATGGAACATATACCAAGACAGATCATATCCTGGGCCATAATAATAAACTTCAACACATTTAAAATAATTGAAATCATACAGTGTTCTCTCACCACAATGGAATCAAACTAGAAATCATGGAAAAATTTAGATATATATGGAATATATATCTAATATCTAATAATGGAAAAGAAAGATCAAAGGAGAAGACCCAAACACTTGGAAACTGAACACACTTCTAAGGAGTTCATGTGTCAAGGAGGAAGTCTCAAAGTAAATAATAAAATACATTGAACGGAATGAAAATGAAGTCTTCTATGACATATTTGTGTCCCACAAATTTCAGCAGTGCTGAAAGAAAAACTTACAAGACCAAATGATTATATTAGGAAAGAATAAAAGTCTCAAATGAATAAGCTCCCACCTCAAGAACCCAGAAAAAGAGGAGCAAAATAAATTCAAAGCAAGCAGGAAGAAGGAAATACTAAAGAGCAGGAATCTAATGAATTAAAAGTAGAAACAGAGAGAAAAATCAATGAAACAAAAGCAGGTTATTTGAAAAGATTAATAAAATTGACAGACTTCTATTAAGACTGACAAAGAGGGTCAGGCACCGTGGCTCACGCCTGTAATCCTAGCACTCTGGGAGGCAGAGGCGGTGGATTGCTTGAGGTCAGGAGTTTGAAACCAGCCTGAGCAAGAGTGAGACCCTGTCTCTACTATAAATAGGAAGAAATTAATCGGCCAACTAATATATATAGAAAAAAGCCAGGCATGGTGGCGCATGCCTGTATTCCCAGCTATTCGGGAGGCTGAGGCAGGAGGATCGCTTGAGCCCAGGAGTTTGAGGTTGCTGTGAGCTAGGCTGATGCCATGGCACTCACTCTAGCCTGGGCAACAAGCAAGACTCTGTTTCAAAAAAAAAAAAAAAAAAAAAAGAAATAGAAAATTTGGCTAGCCCTATACTAATTATTAAGGAAAGTGATTTTGCAATTCAAAAACTACCCCCAAAAAGAAAACTACAGGCCTATCTGGTTTAATTGGAGAATTCTACCAATACCTAAAGAAGAATTAATGCCAATTGCACACACTCTCTTTCAGGAAATAGAATAGCTCATTTTATGAAGCTACTATTACTCTTATACTAAAACCAGATTTAAAAAAAAAGTTTTTAAAAGTACAAAAAAGTAAACTACAAACCCATATTCCTCATTAACATAGAAGTAAAATCCTTACCAGCTGGGTGCTGTGGCACATGCCTGTAGTCCCAGTTACTGAGGAGGCTGAGGTGGGAGGGTTGCTTGAGCCTAGAAGTTCAAGGATGTAGTGAGCTAATGCGCTATGATTGTGCTTGTGAATAGCCACTGCACTCCAGCCTGGGCAACAGCCAGAGACTTTGTCTCTAGAAAAAAAAAAATCCTTACCAAAATATTAGCAACAGACCAGGAGCGGTGGCTCATGCCTATAATCCTAACACTCTGCAAGGCCAAGGCAGGAGGATCACTTGAGGTCAGGAGTTCAAGACCAGCCTGAGAAAGAATGAGACCTGTCTCTACTAAAAATAGAAAAATTAGCCAGGCATGGTGGCACAGCTATTCTAGAGGCTGAGGCAGAAGGATTTATTGAGCCCACGAGTTTGAGGTTACTATGAGCTAGGCTGACACCACAGCACTCTACCCTGGGAGACAGAGTGAGATTCTGTCTCAAAAAAAAAAAAAAAAAAAAAGATTCAGAAATATACCAAAAAAATTATACAGCATGACCACGAGAGATTTATTCTCAGCATGTAAGGCTATTTCCATATTTGAAAATCAATGTAATCTGTTCAACAACATCACAGGATATAAGATAAACACACAAAAATCAATTGTGGTTCTATATATAATTGACCTTCGAACAAGCTGGGTTTGAACTGCACAAGTCCACGTATATGTGGATTTATTTATTTATTTATTTGAGACAGAGTCTAGTTCTGTTGCCTGGCCTAGAGTGCCGTGGTGTCAGCCTAGCTCACAGCAACCTCAAACTCCTGGGCTCAAGTGATACTTCTGCCTCAGCCTCCCGAGTAGCTGGGACTACAGGCATGTGCCACCATGCCCAGCTACTTTTTTCTATGTATTTTAAGTTGTGCAGCTAATTTCTTTCTATGTTTAGGAGAGATGGGATCTCACTCTTGCTCAAGCTGGTCTTGAACTCCTGACCTTGAGCGATCCTCCCACCTTGGCGGCCTCCCAGAGTGCTAGGATACAACGTGAGCCACCACGCCCAGCTATATGTGGATTTTTATTTATTTATATTTATTTTTCTGCCCAATATGTGGATTTTTAAAAATAAATATATCGGAAAATATTTTGAGATTTTGACAACTTGAAAAAAATCACAGATGAAGTGTATAGCCTAGAAAGATTGAAAAAATTAAGAAATGTTATGTTCTGAATCCATAAAAATATAGTAAACTGCTCTATTTAATCATGTATACCACATAAAATATAAACAAATCTATTTTAAAAGTTATAATTTATCAAAGCTTACACAACATAGTTTTTTTTTTTTTTTTTTTTGAGACAGAGTCTCACTGTGTTACCCAGGCTAGAGTGAGTGCCGTGGCGTCAGCCTAGCTCACAGCAACCTCAAAACTCCTGGGCTCAAGCGATCCTCCTGCCTCAGCTCCCGAGTAGCTGGGACTATAGGCATGTGCCACCCGTGTCCAGCTAATTTTTTTTCTATATATAGTTAGCCAATTAATTTCTTCTATTTTGTAGAGACGGGGGTCTCGCTCTTGCTCAGGCTGGTCTCAACTCCTGACCTTGAGCGATCCTCCCGCCTCGGCCTCCCAGAGTGCTAGGATTACAGGCGTGAGCCATCGCGCCTGGCCTTACACAAACATTTATAGACCATATGTGGCCTATAAATGGCAGTGAGAAAATGTAACAAATGTAAAGATGCAGTATTTAATCCTAACTGCATAAAGTTAACTATAATGCAAACTGTATTACTGTCACTTTATAGCCACCTCCTGTTGTTATTATGGTGAGCTCAAGTGTTACAAGTATCTGCTTAAAACATTGTGTGATGCTATTAATCTCCACATGAGCAGCTTCATTTCTCCAGTAAATTGTGTACGGCAGTAAAAAGTGATCTCTTGTGGTTCTCAAGTATTTTTCATCATGTTTACTGCAATGCCATAAGCCTTTAATAACACCGTGGGACCCATACAAAGTGCTACTAGTGATGCTGAAAGTGCTCCCAGGAAGCAGAGAAAAGTCATGACAGTGTAAGAAAAAAATAGAATTGATTGATACGTACTACAGATTGAGGTCTGCAGCTGCAGTTGCCTGTCATTTCAGACAGATGATTCTTCTTGTAAGCAGATGCCTAAACTTATGCTTATCCATAATACAGTAAAGTCCTGTGTCAAAGTCAAATAAAAATATAGAGACAATCTTCTGAATCAAAATGTTTTATTTGGAAACATAAAAATATATATCATAATAAATATAAAAAAAGAAATTGCAATTCAGTGCATACACGCAGACTGGGTGGTCTTCAGTATGTCTGGAGAACAAAGAGAATGTTAGGAGTTTTGTTTGAAAAGAGAGAGACCCGGCGGGTGCTCACGCCTGTGATCCTAGCATCTGGAGGCCGAGCAGGAGATCATTTGAGCTCAGGAGTTGAAAACAGCCTGAGCAAGAGCGAGCCCGCCATCTCTACTAAAAATAGATATTATTGGCCAAACTAAAAATATACCAGAAAAAATAGCTGGCGTGGTGGCGCATGCCTGTAGTCCCAGCTGCTCGGGGCTGAGGCAGTGGATTGCTTGAGCCCAGAGCTGAGGTTGCTGTGAGCTAGCTGACACCATGGCACTCTAGCTCCGACAACAGAGTGAGAGTCTGTCTCAAAATAAATAAATAAATAAGAGAGAGAGAGAGAAAAAAAAATGTTATGTACTGCTCTTTGGGAAAGTTCATTGGCGCTAATAAGGCTTTGGGGAGCTGGCAAGTTTTGATTGGTAAGGGATGGCAATGGATAAACTATTTCTAGAGTTGCAGGGCGTTCCAGCAACTATAGTAAAACTGTTCAGGTTCAGCAGGCAGTTTCAGCAGCCAGGCTTGCAAAAAGTTACATTCTTGGGGCAATGTTTTATGCCCTGGCCTCTCAACTCTGTTTTACTTGAGTTTGACAAGAATGAGCCAATTCATATGATCAACTTTCACATTATAAATATATTTTCTCTCTTTGTGATTCTTACTACATTTTCTTTTGCTAGCTACTTTATTATAAGAATACAGTAGATAATACTATAACAGACAAATAGCACTTGACTGTTTATGTTATTGTAAGGCTGCCGGTCACAAGTGGGCTTAAGTTTTGGTAATCAAAGTATACATGGCTCTTTCCGGCTGAACCATGGAGGGTGCCGAAGAGAAGAAAAAGAAGGTCTCGCTGTGTCAGAAACCCTTAAGAAAATGTGAAGAGACGCGCGGTGGTTCACGCCTGTAATCCTAGCACTCTAGGGGCCAAGGCGGCGGATTGCTCGAGGTCAGGAGTTCGAAACCCCTAAGCAAGAGCGACGACCCCATCCCTACTATAAAGAAGAAATTAATTGGCCACTAATATATATAGAAAAATTAGCCAGGCATGGGTGCATGCCTGTAGTCCCAGTTACTCGAAGCTGAGCAGTAGGATTGCTTGAGCCCAGTAGTTTAGTTGCGTAGCTAGGCTGACGCCATGGCACTCACTCTAGCCTGGGCAACAAAGCGAAGTGTCAAAGTGTGTCCAAAAAGAAAGAAGAAAGAAAAACGAAGAAATTCGCGGACTGAAGACAATGCCAGAGAAAGACATTGGCCAAAAGATGCTTCGAAAAGCAAGGAGGAAGCTTATCATGAAAAAGCTAAGCGTTATCCACAAGAATACAGCAGATGTAGCACTGAGAATTCAAATGGCTAGGACAGCAAGAAACAGGCAACTTTATGTACCTGCAGAACCCAAGTTGGCATTTGTCATCAGGATTCGGTATCAATGGTGTGAGCCAAAGGCGAAAGGTGTTGCAGCTTCTTCACCTTCGCCAGATCTTCAGTGGAACCTTGTTAAGCTCAACAAGGCTTCAATTAACCTGCCGAGGATTGTAGAACCAATTCGCCATGGGGTACCCAAACCTAAAGTCAGTAAATGAACTATCTACAAGCTGTTATGGCAAAATCAATAAGAAACGAAATGCGTGTGACAGAAACCATTGATTGCTCGATCCGGTGCTTGGTAAATATGAATCATCTGCATGGAGGATGATTAATCGAGATCTATACTATTGGGAAACGCTTCGCAAGAAGCAAATATTCTCCTGTGGCCTTCAAGTTATCATCTCCATGGATGGAATGAAGAAAAAGACAACCCATTTGTAGAAGGTGGAGATGCTGGCAACAAGGAGGACCAGAATCAACAGGCTTATTAGAAGAATGAACTAAGGTGTCTACCATGATTATTTTGTAATCTGGTCAGTTAAAAACAGTGGCTGCTTTCAAAAAAAGTATACGGATGGTTGGGGTGTCAAAAGTATAAACTGATTCATGTATAACTTTAAGTTTAAGATATTAATTCTGGAATCAAGAGAGTATACAAGGATATTTCCAACTGGCATGGAGGTGGTGCCTACGCCCTGCATTGATAGGGTCAATAACAACAAATTCCTGGGGGACACGAAATGTAAACTATAAACCATTACAACTCAAAAAAGAAATTCTAGGTATGAAATCAACAAAACACATACATCACTACATGCTGAAAAGTATAAAATGATATGAGAAAGAAATAGAGACCATCTAAAACATGGAGAAACTAAATGTTCTAGAAAGACTCCAAACCTAGTAAATGTCATTCTCCAAATTAATATACAGTGTCACCATCTCCCTATGAAATCATAGTAAAGTTTGTGATATATATGTGTTCATCATCCAATGAAATGTATACATTATTATAGAGAGCCCATTCACTATAAATAGATTATTTAAAATTGAAAGTGAAAACAAAGAAAAGAATGGGCTAAAACAATTTTGAAAAAGAAAAATAAAGCAATGAGTCCCCTACTTCCAAGAGTTATAAATAGCGGTGAGCATTAAACTGTGTGGTATAGTGGAGGGATACGACCTCATAGATCAGATAGAGAACCATGGGATGGGCGGACGAAAGCAAAAAGAGAAAAAAAAAAAGAATAAGAACCCAGAATAGACCACAAATATGCCAAAGGAGTAAAAACAACTCAACAAAGAGACAGGCCTTCACGAATTGTTCAGTGCAATTGGGCATCTAGCAAAACAAAAGAAAACAAGAAAACCTCACCTAAATCTCTACATTTTTGATGAAATTAAATTGATCATAGACAAAATGTAAGCTAATACAATTTAGGAACAAAGGGGAGAAATCTTGACTAGAGCCAGGAGTTCCTGGACTTGACATCAGAGCATGATTTGAAACAGTTTCCTGGGCCGGGGCGCTGTGCTCATGCCTGTAATCCTAGCCTTGGAGGCCGAGGGGCGATGCTCAAGGTCAGGTTCAAGAGCCTGACAGAGCGAGACCGCCGTTCTCTACTATAAAGTAGAAAGAAATTAATTGGCCAAGATATAATATACTAAAATAAGCTGGATGTGCGGCTCCTGTAGTCCCAGCTACTCGGGAGGCTGAGGCAGAGGACCGCTCGACGCCAGGATTGAGGTTGCTGTTGAGCTAGGCTGACGCCACGGCAATCACCTAGCCTGGACAACAAACGCGAGCCCTGTCTCAAAAAAAAAAAACAAAAGTTTTTCTATTTAATTGTTATTTATTTAGCTTTTTTAGAGATGGGGTCTTGCTGTGTCACCCCAGGCTGGATGCAATGGCGTGAATCATAGCTCACTGTCAGCTCCACCTCGGGTCCCGAAGCAATCTCTGCTCAGCCGTCTGATCGCTGGCTACCGAGCATGCGTTACATACCAGATATCTAAAAAATTTTTGTAGAGATTGGGACGGGGACGGTTGCCCAGGCTGCTCTTGAATTCCGGCCA